CGAGTACTGCATAGGTTGTCTTGCTGGTAGCGAGTGTTCGACATTTGATGTCCGACATTTCGCCCCACGTGCTGGGAGATTTTTCAGGAGCTGAACGACACGTGGTACGCGTGTCATAGTGTGTTCATGCGTATTTCTTCACAATAAAAAATATGCATAGACCGATGCTCAGAAGTCAGAGCATCTCCCTGCTCATCGTCAAACGCTGGTGGGGTAAATTCCACACTCGCATGGCGGGGGCAAGATACTGCATAAGATAGCCACTGTTGACTGCCCACTTGGCAGCGATTATTTTGATCGAATCTCTCTCCCTTCATTCGTCTCTCCGGCCTCACAAAACCAGCTCCCCCTGTTGCTTCCCACTTTGCGGTCCATGCCTTAGAGCCTTGGCTTAGCAAAATCTGAAATACTCTTCATGGGATAAAAGGTAACATGCTTTCCAATGCCTTGCTCACGCCACTGCTGACAGAAGCCCCCCCCCCCCCCCCCCCCCCACACTCGAGGGAGTGCTAAAGCCATTTAGGTGGGTGCTGGCTTGCCAGATGTCTTCTTAGAGGCGGGAGTCGCTCGCACTATGCCCCACCGCAAGCAGCCTGCCAATGGACCAAGGTGAACCCATTCGCACTGCCGCTGGGTGGGCGGAGGTGGTGGAGCGGCATGGGCTGTGGCCCATTGTTGAAGCTGCCGCACCGCGAGATAGAACTGGGGACCTCCAGATTGCTCGTCCTGTTTGCCAACCCTTAGACACCACGGCAGGCATCTCTTCTGACACACACGTACTTTCCGCAAGGCTGTCCGAGAATTTAACTCTTCTGTTCGAATTCGCTGAACGCGAATAAATGATTCATTGCCGTGCAGATGTCTCTCGTCCGCCGAAATAGCCATTAAAGGGGCTCCCATCCTGCGTGCCCCCCCCCCCCCCCCCCACCGATCCATCCATCCCCTTCCCTTCCCTCGGTCAGAAATCTCGAGATCTGCGGAGACGCGAGCGAAGGGGGGGGGGGGGGGGCGTGCGGAGCCGGCAGCAGGCGGCGCGCGTTTTAATCGCGCTGCGGCGTGCCGCGCGCTCCGGGGAGCGAGGCGGCCTGATTGTTATTCTGCACCAGGCTCACGGGCTCGCGAGCTCACGGGCCCACGATCTCACGGGCTCGCGGACTCACGAGCCCCCTGGCTCACTCCGCTCCGCTCCGCTCGTGCGGCCCGGTGAGCCGGCCCGGCCGCGAATGTCGAGTGGCGCAAACAGCGGCAGCGGCAGGCCAAGTGGACGCTTCGCATTGGCAAGCCCCCCCCCCTCCCCCCACATTCACCGCGTTAACAAAACGGTGGCGATGATTAAGAGGGTTGGTTTATTTGTCCTGGAGAGCCTCGTTGATGCCTGGAGACTTTCCTTTTAGGCAGGGTCCTGTATTGGGAGTCGGTTTATCGTGGTTTTGGGTGTGGGATGAAATCAAACATGGGAGGTTATTTTAAGCGTATATTTTGGCGCTTACCAGGCACCTTGGAAAGAGGTGGTGTTACCCACACTTTACCCCACCACACACAACCTGACCATTGATTAGCTCTGCTGCGCCGAGTTATCCTGTAGGATGGACTGGCATGCTCGCAGATCGAACCTACAACTTCTAGATTGCTATGCCAGTGTGTTGGCCCTTACAGCACGGGCACAGCAGCCCTGCAAACGTAGTAAGCGGGTCACATTTTGATTGATTCGTGCAACCAGGAACAAAAAAGTCAGCACAAAATTGGGATGAAATCATCACCAAAATCTACCGATGGCTGCTGTCCACGCATGCTTACAACAGAGCAGAGTGTGATGATGGTTCTTCTCCATTCCCCATTCTCTTCCTCATCCCTCCCCTCGCCCCTCCACTCCGTCACATCCCTCCCCAACCCTTTCACGATCCTTGAGCGTTCCCTCGATCGCGGTCACTCGTTTCTCATCACTTGTATCACGCCCCTCCGCCATCTGACTCATTCTATTCCGTCCCCGCTTGTTTTTAAACGATGTCAAGCATCTTGAGTGAAGGCGCTCTGTAAATGGATCAGATGTTCGCAATAAGCCCTGGCGTGTGCATTTGTGAGAACGGTGAGGCACGTGCTGTGTGTGATGTGAAATTATCCGATAGCTATGGGAACAGGGGCAGCAAAGTACTGACTGCAATCAAAACCAAAAGTCGGGTCCCTGGCTAGAGTCACGTTGTTGCTCTCGCTGGCAGAGTGGAACGAAGCGATACAAACAAAAAACACACACACACACCACTCGAACTTTCACGCGAGCAAATTCAGGGCACGTGAACGCATCAACCGCATCCCTTCCAGCAAAGAGACGAAGCTGTTCTGTGATGTGAATATTTTCAATGGCTCAGGTAGACCGAAGAAAAACAACAATAAAATAAGTCCAACTTTTAATGGGAAACGGGGCCAAACAACGACACAAGGATGGCACTGTAATGAGAAAAGGTGCCGTGGTGATCCTGCGGAATTGTGAACATTGATTTTAAGCGAGCTGTAAGGTCACTTCCTGCTGTGCCGGGAAAGTGTTCGTGCATTTGCTCGTCCCTTGGAGAATACTCGACTTGATTCCATGAAAACTACAAATCCGCTAAACTAATCGCTACAGAGCTTGCCAGCACTAGTGCTCAGATCTGCGTTGTTTACATTCACGACGGAATACTTTCGGAATGCAGTTTTAACTTTTAAAATTATCGTAACGTAATGCTTTGTACACGTGCCAACGAATGCACACGTGCGTTAGAATGTACCCACAGCTTTCACACATGCACCTACACTCAAAAGCTATTAGCGACTTTGCTAGTTGCTCTTAAGTCAATTTCTGTGACCCGGAGAGTAACACAGAATCTAAATCGCATTCACAGAGAAATGAGCGGAAAGGCTCGCTAACCAACAACGCACACCCTCTGGAACCAATGAAAGTCATTCTCATCGCTCGGACAAAAAAGTAAACTCGCACGGTTGGAAAGAAAATATTTGTTTTTAAATGATACCTGCGGAATTTGTTTTCATTTCAGTCGCCAACTTTTACCCGTGGCAAATTCCCTCCGTTCCGCGAGGGTTTCACGAGCGGCCAGAGCCTCGTTTGTGTATCGGCGTCCCACCCCTCCTCCCGTAGCGACCGGAGCGCGATTAACATTCACGCGGCGCCGCGTGCGAACCCAGCTCATCAGGCACGCCAAGCTCCACGCGCGCGGACGTTCCAAGCGCGCAGGACCGTACATCCTATATTTGGCAGGCTGCAGTGATTGATTTATACTTTAATTATTCAGCCATCCGTTCGTTCATCTCGTTTATGCAACCCAGTGGCTGGCGAGCGGTTCCGTGCCGTCCGGTCCGTTTGACGATTACCTCTCTGAGCGCACTCGGTGCCAGTGTCGGGACATTGGGCCGAGCTAGGCCACAGAAGTGCCTCTGCCATGTGACTAGAATTCATACTCACGACAGCAAGTTGGCCTTTTGTTTTGTACGCACATACATGCGAACAAAACACAAAGATAGAGACCCCCACCCCCTAGAGCCTTAACAGACTGTTGGGTCAAGCGCTGTTCAGCGAGCGCCCGTGAAGGGCGGAACAGCACACGAGGAAGCGGGGGGGGGGGGCACCACCGCGCCCGGCCGCCTTTGTTTAAAACGAACCAGAAGATAAAGTGGGCCATCTGGTTCGTTTTAAACAAATATTCATGGACTGCCAGTTCAGACATTAAAATCAGCAAATACGAAGGGAAATCCACCCAACATCTCCTTCTCCTGCCAGAGGCTCGTGGTGGAAGGGAGGTTATGAGAAAAGTGCTCTTGAGTCACAGCCTCTATGGCCTCCCCAGGTCTCTCATCTCCCGACTCCAGGTGATCACAAACGCTGTTCGCAAGCTTCTCACCCACACCCACAAATGAGACCACATCGCCCGAATACTCAAATCCCTCCGCTGTCTCCCAATGCAATTATAGTTCAATTTCAAGATCACACTCATCATCTTTAATAGACTCCATGGACTTGCCCCTGCCTACATTCTCTCCTCTAATCTCACTCTGCTCCCCACCCCGCACTCTCCACTCCAACAACCAAGGCTTTCTGTAGAAAATAATCACTGCCGGGTTCGGAGCGCAGCACGCTAACCGCCGTGCCACCGCTCCACCAATCGGAGTGCCAGAGAAATCCAATGTATTTATTGTAGATCATTTATTTCTCAGTGTTTAGATGAATTGTTGTTTTGAATGTACCATTTTCACTACATTTTGACTCTCATCATAGAGAAAAATATTTATCCCAAAAACAATTAAAAGGAAACGATTTCAGTGTGAGATTGGGTTTCGGCGAAACTGAGAGCAGTCAGCGCATGCACATCACAGATTCTACAATCACAGCGCCGCTCTTTCTCAAGTTGAATCAACCCACTTCACAATGTACACTTCAACAATTGTTCACGTGAATATGGAGAAAGTTGTCACCAAAAAGAAAATAAGCAATCGCACCATACTAATTTGAAAATAGGTTACTCAGAAACCTCAACGAGTAACCCAGAGTGCAATGCACGTTTCCAGTGTCGCCCTGCAAGCCCCGTGATGTTTGTAAGATCCATTCACTTACGCATCAGTCCAGAAATCCGGTCAGTAGACAGCCTGTAGGCTGATGAACTCGACCGGTAATTTATTTCATAAAGTAAAACGCACACTTGTCTATTTATTGCTGCATTTCCCACAATCCACCACGATGGCACAGAACACAATTTTGTAGAACCAAATACAGTGGCAGCAAAAGGAAGGAATATGCGGAAATGAAACGATGAAAATCGACTCGTGTTCAGGACTTTAGACGGATCGTTTCATTGCGAGACTGAGAGCGATGAAAACCGATTGTGGAGGAGCTCATTCAAAAGTGGATAGATCGTGACCGTTGATGATCACGATGACGGTAAAGGGCCGACACGTCCGCCCATCAGTCCCCGTGTTGTGGTCTGCGCTCGTGTGAGAGGCCATGGGGACGGTACCTGGCTGCAGGTGAAGTCACGTGCTGGGTTTCCACTCTTGCGTTGCTCCCAGGGTCTCCACAGGGTGAGCGAGCGTGTGAGCGAGCGTGTGAGCGAGCGTGTGTGTGAGCGTGCGTGTGAGCGAGCGTGCGTGTGAGCGAGCGTGCGTGTGAGCGAGCGTGCGTGTGAGCGAGCGTGCGTGTGAGCGAGCGTGCGTGTGAGCGTGCGTGCGTGTGCTCAGATGGCCTTGCATATGCAGCAGCTGGGTGCTGTAACCACACAGGAAGAATGAAGAGCAACTTGTTATGCACATACGCGAGTATCATCACTGGGATTGCCACCTATCCTGGTATCTAAAGGTGGTTTTGCTGCCCCGGAATATTCGTCAAATATTCTCGTGGATATGAAAGTTCGAGTTGTTTTGTCGTTTGTGTAACAAGGCGATATTTTAGTCCTCGCGCTCAGTCTGGTCTACATAGGTGGTGACTGAAATGCTCCGGTTAGGGTGCAGATGTGGAGTGTGACGTGGCCACACCGTACCATTTAACACCACTCAAGGCAATGGAATTAGAGTCCTTCCCTCTTGCGATATTGCGAGACATTATTCTTCTGCTTCCCATATGTCCCTGCTTTTTGGTACCACAGACGTGACAGCTCTTATATCACACACACGACACACACACGACACATCATAGAATAAAATCCACCTGTGTGGTGCGGGCGTTGTGGCAATCGACTCGGCAATTAAACTTGGCCCATCATCCCTCAAGGTTCAATAAAATGAAGACTAATTTGTACAAAGTGATCAGAAATGTGGAATTAACACCTGTGAGATTAAGGGCCAACAGAGAGATGGTATGTATGTCAAACTGCTTTCGCACCATACGTAGCCAACCGTGCTAATCGGAGGTGCAGGGGAAGGACAACAAACATAGAGAAAGCGCTTCGTTTGGCATCTAGAGTTGCTTGACTTTTTGTGTTAATATTATTTACGACCACGAGCATTCACTACCTAAAGGGGGCTTTTCATGACCTCGCCTTTGCTAAAACACCCAGTTCCAGTGGGCGTCACCAGTGATTTGTACACCGTGATGAACCGAGCCCCGTGGTGTTCACGGAGAGGGCTCTTGTTTACAGCAGCGTGACACCACGCTGATGGACAGCAGCGTGGTGTCACAGGTCACACACTCTGCTGACGACTCCGAAAACCAAAACTGGCCACGCGCTCGCTGCTTAAACAATCACTGCTCACGGGCATTGTCCCAAAGGCCTTTTTATCCGATTGGAAACAATTTGTTATTTTGTTTCTCTGTACCAAATGGCAGCCTCTTGCGCTGTTTGGGTTCGCAATTGAGGATGCCTTTTCATTTATCGCTTTCCGAGCAAGGTTGAATGCATTTGTGCATTAGCTCTGTCCATCTGCCTGTAACACGGCCTTACAACAAACACTCTCGTAAAGTGGGTCCAACATGAACATGGCATAAAGGTTTGTCGCTATTAGGGACTTGTCCTGTTCAAAACCGGCTACAATGATAAGTGGATTTCCCACAACACAGAACAGCAAAAAAAAATACTCTTTGAAAATATGCCAACGCATTTGGCCCTGACAGCTTCCAGTCGGCTTCTGTTCTCTAAGTACTCAGGAAGACAAACTCACTTTGCCTAAGCATTACAGAATCAACGGGGGTGCACGATTTTCCCCACCATGTACAGTTACTGGCCCCCACTCATTACTCAATATCACGAGAGCGTGTAAGGGCTCGCCCCGGTAGGCTGCCTCAATGCATTCATTTAATATTCCCTGCTGTCGCGGGACAGATGTCAAGGGGACGGATAACGGGGGGGGACATCGGCTGAGGGATTCAACGTCGCGGGAAAAGGGGGATAAGGGAGCGGAGGATGCGTTCGAGATGGGTAAGGAAGAAGGGACAAAATTGGTGAGGAGGGAGGAGGAGGACCTTCCAGGTTCGAGGAGAAACACGCAGAGAGATTAGGGAGTGGGGGATTGCGAGCGAGGGCGCTTTTTGGCCGCGTCTGCCTAGGAGAGGATGTGCGGTGGAGACTCCCTCGCCAACGTTATCGTGCGTCCAGGAGGCACCACGCACTCCTCCTTCTTGCTCAAGCGAGAGGCCTTCACTTCTGTGGCCATGAGCCAGCTGTGAGAATTCCACATTAACATGGTGGAGGCCATTTACTCCGCAGCGTGGCCGTCGTCAACTTCCCACACGGCGATGCCGGTTGTATCGACCACACAAGAGGAGGATGCTGGGCTGAGAATTTACTCCCGACTGGGATGTCACCTCGGAAGCGCACATGCTGTCTCTTACGCTCTGCTCTATGAAATAAAGTCGCGAAAAAAATTGTCAAATAATTGACAAACAAAGTGCACACTTACTGTGTGTGTTGAGACGCCAAGCTAAGGGTTGCATTTCTTCACGGGTTTTCCATTGTTTCAGGTGGTCCGAAGTAAAATAATCCACTGATATGCACATACTCTTGCATTCTGTAGAGCAAAGGACATTCAGCACACACATTCAAAAGGTGATTATCATGGACACAGGACCGATATCTACAACCGTCATTCTAACTCGTACCGCGCTGCACAGGATTCTAACTGGTAACGCGCCGCTGCACAGTATTCGGTCTCTCCCCAAGAGAGAGGCGACGACTCAGCAGGCGCAACGAACCGCAGACAAGCGGGAAGGCAGTGGCCAGGAGGTGAGACGGTGCCAACATTTGCCCGAGATCTGCGGTCCTCTATGTGTGAAGGTGTTATCGGCCTAGTAATGAGTGCTTGCATGTGGGAGGAAACCGGAGCACCCGGAGAAACCGCACGTGTGCGAAGGGGGAAACGCTCTATCCCATACAGATGGAACAGGTGAAGGCCACATGTTTGCTCCACTGCCTTCTCCTGACAAGCCAGAGTATGGCACCTCACCGCCCACGGCGAGAGAGTTTCACAACATCTGTGCGGTGATCCGCCAACCCTCGACACTGCCTCCACGGTGCTGGATTACAGGCAGCCAGCCACGTGCCTAGTCGCCACCACCGCCCGGCATTGCTATCGCTCTTTCAGCCCAGCGGAACCCTCTTGCTGAAAGCGTCTTGGGAATCAGTGACACTCTCCTTGAGAAAGCCAATTTATTGATTTCATAAAATCGGCCCTGCGGATGCTGCCGTGGCATAGCGCTGAGCACGCTGGGCCTGCGACCCAAAAGTCACCGGTTCGATCTCCCTGCGCGGGAGTTGGAGCAGCGGAGTGAGTTCCTTCACTTCCCCCCACGCCTCTGTCCAGCCAGCAGTCTGCATGGGGACGACCACGGTCAGTCGATCGTGTGTGGTGGCCAGCGTGGAAGAGTAGGCCAAATACAACTCGATAGAGTTTCTCTAAGAGCCCACTCTAGGGGGAGCCCCTTCTGTCAGCAGTGGTGCGGGCAAGAAACATGCAGGGCTGCGCCTTTGGCTTTACCTCACGGCGGGCATCTCAAGTGTGTGCTTGAGCAGTGGAATGCAGAGTCTCACTGCTATCTGCTCGGGCGCTCCCTGTGTCTGCGTAGCAACGCCGCGCGTGGAAGGGTTGGCCGTGGGGGGAATTCTTATTTGCCATTATAGAGCAGAGAGGCAGTGCCGCACACATTAATCACCATCATTCATTCTGCAGGGGCAGCACAGTGTTCGTGTTGTGGTCAAACGGAGCGTGGCGCAGCGGGCAGGGAAATGCAATGTTATATTGCCTCCCTGAAAAGCATTTCTTAAAGACAAAGAAATAAATACGGCGCAGAAGGTGACGATAAATTTCCTTCGCAGAAATAAACCGGCTGCTGATTTTGCTTCCACGACCCTAGGAGCAGTTTGCTGCGAGAAACGAATGTTCCTCGCAGCGGAGAGAGAGGAGGGCGCGCAGATGAAATGGGCAAATTAGACATCAGCAGGTACACAAATGGAAATTCAGAGGCGCGGCCGGCGATTTCTAAAATAAATATCCGACGAACGCCGCCGGGGGCACGAATGGAGCTCTTTTGAGGATATTCGTGCGGAGCAAAGCGCGTGTGTGTTAGTCTCGTGTGTGTGTGTGTGTTAGTGTCGTGTGTGCGTGTGTGCTGTGCTGATAAGAAATTCTGCCCACGCGTTGCGCGCGCGAGCGAGTGCCAGAGTATTGCCCCCCGGTGTCGTCTCCCAACATAACGGGCTCGCAAACAATTCTCCACACTTTTGAAAATAGAATGCATGCACATGTATTCAAAGACAAAAATCCCCCGTATTGCCTTAATAGACTTTCGGGGCAAGTGCTGTTAGCGAGCACCTATGAAGGGCCGGCACGGCACACGAGTAGGTGGGTGGCCAACACCACGCCCGGCCGCCTTTGTCTCCCTAGTGGCGATGTTTACGCACTGCACCAGGTACTCATTTGAAGCTGAGTCGACCTAGGGGAGGTTCAGAACCGGTTCAGATAGTCGTCACCGGTGTCGGCCGTGAGCGGGAATCGAACTCGGGTCGCCTGGCTCATAGCGCAGTGCAGTAACCGCTACACTACCGCTCCCCACATGCATACACACATACACACACATACACACACATACACACAAATACACACACATGCACACACATACTCGTTGGTTCTTTCGGTAAAGTCACATAGGTAGAAAAATACAATCAAAAATTAAAATGCTGGATTATTTTTTCCGCCTGAGGACGACCGCTTGTGTTGCGATCGATGAGTGTCAGGTGCGTGGTGAATGTCTGGTCAGTTGATGGCTGGTGAGTGTCCGGTGAATGGTGAACATCTGACGAGGGTCAGATGTCATGCGAGTGTCACATGACATCTGTAGGACGGGCTGCCCTCGAGTCTCTTACGTTATCATCCATTAGAGAATTCCGCTTGGCATGCTGAGGCTAAACTACAGTAGAGAGTTTGTTTTCTCCATAGTGCTCAAATAACGGATAACTATTGACATGCCCAAAAGTATATCAACATTCTCCAGTTGATGTTCCGATGTGACCTATTCATCATGAAATAGGTAAAGGTGCAGCCCTGCAATGCCTTGCTCATGAAACTGCTGGATATAGAGCCTCAATTACAAGGAGCCCCTGGACAGCCCCTCCAGAGGATATTTTGGACAACTCTCCTACGCTGGCCAAACAATCCTCGAAGAGGCGGGAGGACCTCACCTGCTGGACATCTGTTAAAAAGAGCTTCATAGCTCATCGGATTTCTCCAGTATGAATAACTATTCTGATTTACCCCACCACACGCAACCCGTGTGCTGATGACTGGGAATGCCACGGCAGCGGTGCCGTGGTGAGCGTGGTGCACGAGACACGCGCCGCAGTGTCCCCCTGCGGTGCCGTGGTGAGTGTGGTGCACGAGACACACACCGCAGTGTCCCCCTGCGGTGCCGTGGTGAGTGCGGTGCACGAGACACGCACCGCAGTGTCCCCCTGCGGTGCCGTGGTGAGTGCGGTGCACGAGACACGCGCCGCAGTGTCCCCCTGCGGTGCCGTGGTGAGTGCGGTGCACGAGACACACACCGCAGTGTCCCCCTGCGGTGCCGTGGTGAGTGTGGTGCACGAGACACGCGCCGCAGTGACCCCCTGCGGTGCCGTGGTGAGTGTGGTGCACGAGACACGCGCCGCAGTGTCCCCCTGCGGTGCCGTAGTGAGTGTGGTGCACGAGACACGCACCGCAGTGTCCCCCTGCGGTGCCGTGGTGAGTGCGGTGCACGAGACACGCGCCGCAGTGTCCCCCTGCGGTGCCGTGGTGAGTGTGGTGCACCGAGACACGCGCCGCAGTGTCCCCCTGCGGTGCCGTGGTGAGTGTGGTGCACGAGACACGCGCCGCAGTGTCCCCCTGCGGTGCCGTGGTGAGTGTGGTGCACGAGACACGCACCGCAGTGTCCCCCTGCGGTGCCGTGGTGAGTGCGGTGCACGAGACACGCGCCGCAGTGTCCCCCTGCGGTGCCGTGGTGAGTGTGGTGCACCGAGACACGCGCCGCAGTGTCCCCCTGCGGTGCCGTGGTGAGTGTGGTGCACGAGACACGCGCCGCAGTGTCCCCCTGCGGTGCCGTGGTGAGCGTGGTGCACGAGACACGCGCCGCAGTGTCCCCCTGCGGTGCCGTGGTGAGTGTGGTGCACGAGACACGCGCCGCAGTGTCCCCCTGCGGTGCCGTGGTGAGTGCGGTGCACGAGACACGCGCCGCAGTGTCCCCCTGCGGTGCCGTGGTGAGTGCGGTGCACGAGACACGTACCGCAGTGTTCACCTGCGATGCCATCACCACAGGGATGCAAATTTGCGGCCAAAGGCGGACACAGCTGTAGGGACAGAGACAGAGAAAACATCACAAAATGGATTAGCATAGACAGAGGTACCGGCATAACTGGCGCGGACGAAGATGTATTAGAGCTCGCAAGCATCCCAAGAAGCTGGCAAGCTTGGTGTTGTTGTGGCCGTAGCTGTGCTCAGCCACCGTTGTCTTCCCATTTCCTCAGAGCTAAGCATATGCTTATAAATAAGCGTACGTGGTCGATAGGGTTGACCCAGCATAAATAAAGATTTCACGAAATCAATTGCTTGCAGTGGAGACGGGAATGCTGGCTGCATTTAAACGTCGATCAGTTTCCCAGGATTCCGGAACGGCGACAATGTCCCTCGATGGAAGTGTGGGGTTCAAAAGGCAAAGGGAACCCAGCCCCGGCTAAGCCATCGTCCAGAGCCAGAGATCGCTTCGGAAACAGATGCAGCAATGCAATCGACGAGCAGGGCATTTAGTAACTCGGCCCTACGCTGCCGCAGCGAGCAAAGGAGACTCATCTATCCGATGACACCCAGTGGATACTGCGCGAAACTCGCAATAATTTGAGTGCGTGGAATGCAAACATGGATAGATTTAAGCGAGGTGAAGGTTTCTTCATTTTCATTAAGAGCAATGGGGTATTGTGCATCTCTATTGGCAGTCCTGAACCAGCGGTGAACATTCCACATTCTCAGAGTAGGGCCCAGGTTTTTCCACGAAATAACCACCACCCTTTTGACAAAGTGGTGGCACGATAGGCTGCAGTGATTTGAACTCCGACCCTCGGATCGAGAGTCCAAAGCCTACCGCTATCCCTTCCCATAATACGACCAGACAAGCTCAGCACTCAAGATTCAAGATCTCTTGTTTGGAGAACACTGTACTTTAATCCAGAAGCGTGCTAACGAGGATGATATAATGATATAATGATATTGTAAAAATACACAAAGCACATTACTCGCAGAAATTCGGTGCGAAAATCGATCTTTTTCACTGAAAATATTGTGAAAGAAAAATAAATAAACAAATAACCTTCAGAAACATGCACCTGCTCTATCGATACATTATTTAACATTTGCATTGACTAAAGAGCCTTGCGGTTTAAATGTCGAGCCCTTTATTTGTGGATACTGCGCTCAAAATTAAACTCCGAAACACCCCGTTCTCCAGCAAACGTCACCGCAGCAGAACGAAGAGTAAACAATGAACATTGAATGCTTGTTCCGCGACCTATGCAGTGATGCGTGGCGTTCACTGCACGGATCACACACGTCGCCTCGAATGAAACGTGCCGACAACTTGCACAGTGCCACCTTACGTCAGGGGCACATTTAATCCGGCAGCCCGGAGGTAGAGTTGGCAGATCGTTCTGAGCTCACACGCGTGATACTATACACTGAAACTATAAACTATTTTCATTTTACCAGGTAAGACCTACAGAACTGTCCAACTCTTTTTTAAAAGCGACCTGGCCACAAATGATAGCTCAACGAAGTGGCTTATCACGTGGACATTGCTCGCAGCCAAATACTCTAAACGCGTATGGCGATTCTAAATGTAGGAGGGAAAAACCAAAGGACCCGGAGAAAAATGCACACGATCACAGGGAGAACGTGCAAACTCAAAATATGCAGGTGTCCTCTCGGGATCGAACCCACGACCTCCTGTCTACCAGGCGAGGTAGTTAACATCTCGCCATCGTGGCGATACACCTGATTGAGCAGGATAGCATGCCTGCATGAGGCAGTAGAGCAAGTAAGCTGCCGAAATATTCTCTTAGAGGTGGAATGTTGTCCTCTCGCATGTGTGGCTTTTCTCCTGACACCTGGATTTTCTCCCCCATCAGCATAATTACTCAACAAGGAATTAACCAAACGACTCCATTGCGGAACCCATCAAAAAAATTGTCTTGAGAATAACACTCATGAAAAAGTGATGGAAGAAACTCTGGTGAAAGTATTAAATCTGCGATTGGAAGGTCGCAAGATCAAACCCAAAATAACGCATCGATCATCCCCCTGGGGTTGCCAACAGTGGTAGTTTTATCGATAGAGTATCGTTGCTGCAAGAGTTAGGATTCCCCCCCCCCCCACCCCGAGCCATGGTCTCCAGCTGCGTGTTTAAGCAGTGAGAAACACCAGGACTCACTTCAAAGTTATTACCGTCTTCATAATCTTAGCAACCAGAATTCAAACTAAATATATCACCCGTAAGCTGTTCCAAGAAGTGTAACTCCTTGGAATTCTCAGCAGTTGTTTTTTTTTTTCTTCTTAAATGTAATCATTTACACGAAGTTAACCCAATTGCGCCATCAGCGTCAAGGCATGAGATGAAGTATCCCATTGGATCCCTGAGACAGCAGTGCCACCATGCGTGCCGGACAGCCGCCCAGATGATGCCGACGTCACAGAGCCACCTCTGAGGTCCCGTCAAGTGGCATCTGGTTGCCCACAAGAGTGGGGGCAGCACTTGCCCACTGGCTCTGCATACGAGGGTAGCAATGTTCGTCGCACAAAAGTCGAAGCAACATTCGCATTCTCAGAGCTGGAATTTATTCAAATTAAGTGCGGAATAAAATTGTATGCGATGGATTTTAGTTTTGTTTTTGTTGCGATGCTGTCATTGGAGACCAGGCTGAGGCCATCAAGTGGCCACACTTGAGAACCCGGTTTAACGACTGGCAGCTGCCTGGGATCGAACCCGGGCTGTCAGCGGTGTCAGCCCAGGGACACTCTGACCTCTGAGCAGCGTCGTCATTCCTTGCCAATTTGTTTTACGCATATCTACACAACGCAAATCCAATTTGAAAATGCTATTGAGTGGATGTATGTGGTTTCACTTTTGCTACCCTGCAGCCTTTAAATAGTTAAAATTCATCATAATAAATGGCTTCTAATTTTGCACAGTGTTTTTTTATGTCACTTGATTAATGCATTGTCTGAAGGGTCACGTATACTTTCCAGCGGTATCTGGAATTTAAATTGATTCATAATGACCTTGGTGATAGTCAAAGCAATTCCTGCTTGCTGCCAGAGAAGAAGGGCCTGAACAATGAGTAGTTTTTTTACCCACATAATAATAATGTGAAAAAGTATCGATATATTTAAGCTACTCGTGGTATTAGATCGCGAGTGATTCATAGATTTGATAAAGTCTTCGTCGTTTTATTCCTCCTCAACCTTTGACTCAGAGACCGCCACTGGTCTTAATATACACAAGTAAACGTACAACCACGCGTCCTCAGAATTATAGGACGCTCCGTGAGGTAAGAAGCACGCCACACTGTTCTAGCATTAGGAGAATGCATTGCTTTAAAGAACCGTCTTCCAGGAGATGACTCGTATGCACCTTGATTGAAACACGTCTGCAGGGAAAAACTAACTTATTCCCCGGATTATAAACGGCGCACTTCAAACTTTTACTCTAAAATACAGGACTTATATTGGACGTGTGTGAGCGATTCACTGCACAAATCAGTGCACTCTATAAATCAAACGTATTAATGATGAGGGGAAAACAGTAAGTCATTATCTGGAGAATACAGTATATGTAAGGAGAACGGATAGAATGATTTACCCCTTGGAGAAAAATAATAATTTCAACTTATAACGTGAACAGTATTCACTCACTGTCGAAGAAAGGGAACCACTCAGAGATGTGAAGAGGATCCACAGACGAGCGGGAAGGCAGCCACGCGGTGAGCCCGTGCCAACAATTGCCCAAGTTCTGCGGCCCTCTATATATTAAGGCATGATCAGCCAATTAATGAGTGCGTACACACGGCAGGAAACTGGAGCACCCACAGAAAACGTACGCGTGTGAGGGGGAAACACTCTATCCCATACAGATAGAACAGGTGGAGTCCATAGTTTTGCTGTACCGCATTCGCCTGGCAAGCCAGGGTACACGGCTCCTCGACACCCAGGAAAAGGGAGTTTCACAACATTTGTGCGGTGATTCACCAACACTCGCCTCTACCAGTTCTTGCCTACAGGCGTGCATCGCCACCACCGCCTGGCCGATGCGAGAATTCGTCTCAAATTAAAGTGACACCCTCCAGAGCATTGCTTCTCAAACTGTTTCACTACACAGCACTCCCTTTCGAGATTGCTCAATCTTTGCAGCACAACGAACCAAAGCCCTCACTATGGGCCCGGGTGAGACGCACGCCGCTCATAGCGGCTGTCTGCTCAACTGCGCACGTGCGGCCGAGGGAGCTAAGAGGGCCGGGGGTGAGGGCTGACGGCTGTCTCCAGTGCCGTGCTGCGCACGTACAACCAATGGAGAGGTGGGAGGCTGCTGGATCGCCCACTGAACGCCACGGAGGAGAGCCCGCCTGTCCCAGCTCGCGAACAAGCGAGGTCTCGGTCCTTTATTATTCAACAAAAACACCGCGGAACCGCCGGTTGCGAAGCCCTGCTCTAGAGGGACTCGCTTGAGGTCTCTCTCTGTCTCGTGGAGGCAGTTCCGCACTCGGTGGTGCGAGCAATTGCGCGGCTGCGCCTTTACCTTTGCGTTTATGAAAACACAAGTACAATACCCAAATGTGTTCGCGATGGGTCTCCCATTCAGGACCTACCACCCGTTGCATTACCACTTTGACAGTTCGCGCCATTACCCGGACGGAGGGCTCGGGAAATCGGTGTCACTTTTCCAAGCAGAGTGGGCTGTGCACTATTGACTGATATCGACCGAACGCATCGGCGCTTGCATCTAGGACCCAGGCAAACAGGCACTTAATTAATCATTGACACAGGTGGTGGCGGCACATTCATTTTCACATTCACTCACGATCCCGAGAGCGCAGATTCAGGGCCACGGCCACATCCATCAGTGCTGCCACTTAGAAACGTGGCGCAGCCACAATCAGCCCTCTCGTTCATCACAGCAATCGCGGCGTAAATACCACTGTGTAATGTTGAGATGCACACACACACACACGAATAATGACAACGGCACGCAGAAACGACAGCGGTTGTGCACACCTGTAAAATCCAGTATTCTGGAGGCAAGCATTCG